CCTGATCTTCTGGTAGGAAAGATCTACACCTAGCCTTCTCGGACAAGGGCGAAATATCTCGGAGGGCCCGTGTGCAAGTTGCGCATGTTAAAGATCCCTTGGTGGTCTAAACTCGATAAGAGTAGGCTTCGGCCGCCACCCGGGCAAAATTCAAAAATTTCCTACCAACCGAAAATATTAGGTGCGTTCCGCGCGCTCATATGGCCTTATACAGTTGCGAGCGCCGTAAAACACAGCAAACACCCTTAGCATAAATATATAAAAATAGACCTAACATCATACTTTAACCCTATCCGTACGTTGTGTTTTACTATGGTATCCGTAAGAGGTAATTTACTCTCCGATCCATACGCTTTGCATGGTACTCTGTCAAAGTGATTTTTATCTTAAATGCTGAACGTTTCAAAGAGATCTTATTCGTACTAGAAGTATTCTAAAATGTGAAGACTGCAATTTTAACCCCGGGGGTACAAATGACCCCGGGCGTAGGCCTACGGATATCGATTAAGGCACGCGATATCATGTATACGAAACACGGTCCCAACAGTTCAGATGCATACAAGAGAACTTTTCGAGACTCACGTGTAGACCTCTCGACGGTCTTTGGGGGAAATATACAAGCTTACTTACGCTGAAATAGTGGAGCGTGGCTGTCCCAAATAGAGCAATCTGTCAGCTTGCAACTGAAAATATCATTGTAGTTATACCCTCTGTTTGCACCTGCACTGGCTCAATATGAAAACAAAAGTTTGGACGCTAATATGAGCGCCACATTGGCAAATTAATTACTGAGCTAGAAATATTATAGAATAAGGTCTATATGATGCAGACAAAAGACCCCCCAAACCAGTGCAGTGCTATTATACTGACTGAAGTTGTCTTTAGGCCATTTAAAAAAAAAGGGGGGGGGGGTATTAAGATGTTCTTATGCAAAGTAGAATTGTAAATGGGCTGATTTATCAATGTCCCGTTATTTCCGGGGTGCCTTGATAGCCGAAGCAGACTTTGTGCTGTTGAAGCTAGAGAGATGAGCACAGTAAAAGAGTAAGCCTTGTGCTGTTGAGGCTAGTGAGGTGAGCACAGTAAAAGAGTAAGCTTTGTGTTGTTGAGGCTAGTGAGGTGAGCACAGTAAAAGAGTAAGCTTTGTGTTGTTGAGGCTAGTGAGGTGAGCACAGTAAAAGAGTAAGTCTTGTGTTGTTGAGGCTAGAGAGGTGAGCACAGTAAAAGAGTAAGTCTTGTGTTGTTGAGGCTAGAGAGGTGAGCACAGTAAAAGAGTAAGCCCGATTACCCGTTCTGTACTTTTCTCTGTTGACATCCGTCATCCGCTCCAGGACTTGGCGACTGGTAATTAATCTTATGCAGTTGCGAGTGCCGTAAAATCCGTACTAAAACAAAACAGACAAAATGAAAGTGAAGAAGCATATAAAAAATAGATGGTGGTGGTGACAGTGTTTTTTGTTTGTTTGTTTTTTGTTTTGTGTTGGGTGGGTGGGTGGGGGTCTTTTAGACCAGTGTTATTGTTGAAGTGAAGGGCGAAGCTTTAAAAAAAAACACTTGAGAAAAGATTCTCTGAACTTTGCACACGGCACGTTAAAGCTATTCGCACGTGAGACCAAAGCAATGACGGTTTCACTGCAGACCCGCTAGGACTTCATCACCATTCCAACATCAACAAAAAAGGGTGTGTAACATAAATCAAGACGAAGAAAAACTGTTGGCTTCAAAGAGAAAAGAAAGGGTTTATTTCAGATCAGCCCATTATTGGAAAACTACAAACAAAGGCAATTTCTATTGTTTTTTTCCTTTTAGTTTGCAACCGAAAGGTCGTCGGTCATGTGTTCGAACCACGACCTGGGCGCGACGTTTTGTTCTAAGGAGAGGCATTTTGCACACAATTACCTTTTCTCACCCACGTGGGAATAAGTACCCAGCTTTATAATATATGTATTAGAAGAACGATAATGACAGAACCTTTAAAAAAACACCTGCTGCACAGATATGAAAATTATATGATTTGACACAAGAATGTTTCTGTCTGGGTGTTCAAGGATCAACTTGGTGATTATAGTATATTACAATTTAAAGCCGTTAGAGCTTGCTGTTGGGCAGGGATATCTTCTATATGTTAATTCTATCCAAATTAAAATATGCAGGACAGCAACATGCGGACCAAGAGAACATTGACCTCTCGTCCCATTTAGGAAATAGGCCTAGCCGAGTGCTTTTCTATACGGAGTAATAGCCGTACGAAATTAGTAACAAAACAAAGATGGAATCCTGTGGCGCCGTCGAAAAAGAATTAGATAAGTTAGGTGATAGATACGCTTCTGCAAATGGACATGTACAGTTGACGTTGGATGATTTCATAAACTCAATCAGGGGTTTCAACAATGAGCTTCTTGGAAGTAAGTTTTTATTTACGCAAGACATTAATACTTCGATATATTGTTGTGTACTCACTCTGATCTACCCATTTTCGATACACTTTGTTGTTTACTCTATAGTCTATGACATGACTCTCTGACTCTGATCTAAATATATATCATCTATATCTATATAAGACAAGACTTAGACTACTAAGTCTAGATTCTATATCTAGATCTAGATCTAGATGATCTAGGTCTAGATTTAGTAAGTAAATGAATAAACATATCTCTGCAAGTAGTGGTAGTTGGTACATTGTGTGGAGTGGTTCGTGCAGTGCGACATTCAGCCAACGAAGTGGCTAGCCGTACTTAAGTACGGCTAGACTGCCAGTCTAGCCGTACTTAGATCTAGGTTTGGCCCAATCGACTCAAGCCTGTTAAGTACACAGGTCTCATTAGATCTAGATCTAGTAATTATTCAGGTTTAAATACATGCAAGTCAGTAAGGCACCTTTTGGTTTTGTCTGAAATACAAATACTTTAGGCATTCATTGCAAACTAAAATTTTCAAGTACAATTCAGCCATCAATATTAAGTACGGCTAGACTGACAGTCTAGCCGTCCTTAAGTACGGCTAGCCTGGCTGTCTACCCGTACTTAAGTACGGCTAGACTGCCAGTCTAGCCGTACTTAATCTTAGGCCCTATTTACATTAGAAAACAGGTGGTTTAAAATACATGCACTGTCATTAAGGAACCTGGTTTTGTCTCAAATACAAATACTTTAGGTACTGCACACTAAAAATGTATATTTACAATTCAGTAGAGGCCTATTTTTTGTAAATGGTCAGTTTAGCCATCATATTAAGAATAAGTACGGCTAAATAATAGTAGTAGAGAGTGATTGTTGAGTGAGAGAGGCAGTGGAAGTGAGTGAGTGAAGGAGTGAGAGAAAGTGTGAGGGAGACATGTAGTAGATTATGTAGCTTTTTTTAAAGAACATCTCCACAGTGTGTATGTAGCAGAGAATAGAATCTAGAAAGGGGTAAGAAAAGATTGTTTATTAGTTTATTGTACTTTACCAGACCACCGGTCGGAACTACTTTCGCTATGGCGCCCATGGTGCCTAGTGGCCCGCTATTCTTCCTTTCCGAGCTCCCCATCTCACTCTCCTGTTCAATTTTCTATGTCCTTACTCCTTACCCTCCGACTGCCAACAATCGACTGGAAGGAATTAATTGATCATGATGAAAATGAACCATTGTAATTATTTTGTATTTTACCATCGCTGGTGTGATGATGTCTGTCTCAGCTCTGGCACTGGATAATGACATAAAACTTTGCTATTGCTCTTGGTTTAAACTTACACTTACAGTTACAGCAAGTAAATGAGATTCCTCAGACTAAGACATGTCCAGTATGTGGAATGCCCTGAAGTTCTTTCTCATTGGTTTCAGCATTTTATATCTCTGTGATGCCTCAATGACTTGGGGCCCACTTATGACTGACTGTGATGTGGTCGTGACTGTGATTGCTGTTTTTTTTTTTAGCGGAGCCTTTTTTTTAGTACTTTTTAGGTTAGGGCATTGCTGCTTTTTCTTTCCTCATCCGTTACTATCGTCATTTTTCCTCCACTTCTTTTGTATGTTTGTCACTCTTGTGAACGAACTGCTATTTCCGGGAAGCCTTTCATAGTTGAAGCAGACTTTGTGCTGTTGAGGTTAGAGAGGTGAACAGAGTAAGCCCAATTCCCTGTTTACACTTCTCTGTTGACATCCACTCCTTGGTGCTCATATGACCTTATGCAATTGTGAGCGCCTTAAAACCGTATTAAAACTAAACCTCGTACGGCCTCTTGCCTTCAGGGGGTCACATTAGATTTGAAGGTACTCTGATACATTTTATACTGACTTACGATTATTTTTAATTTCGGTAAGAAGAATTCATTTTGAATTTTGCCCGGATGGTGGCTGACGCCTACTCTTATCCATTTTGGGACCACCAAAAAATGTTTTTATCTTTAACGTACTTCACTTGCACTCATGGGACCTTCCAATTCCAAGATTTTTTGCTCTTTTCTGAGAAGGTTCGGCTTTCGGTCTTACCTACCCCAAGATCAGGGATATGGCTGAAAGACAGCAGTAAGAAAGAGTCAGCTCATTTACATGTAGTAGTAGTGAATGTCAGGAGTGAGGGGGCGAGGAACATAGAGGAGGCTGGAGGGTGGATTGATTATGAAGTGGAGATGACTGCTGATGACAGAAGAGGACTACACAGGAAAAGACTTGAATAGAGAAAATTAAAGAGAAAATTTTTTTGTCGCTGTCAAATTTTGATCCCAGGCCCATGTGAATGAGAGGCGAGTACTCTACTGCAGACTAGTGCTGGGCGGCGAGGTTTCCGATTATTGAGAGCTAGGAATCGTGGGAATCGACTCCGAATCCAATTACTTACTTTCTAATGATGTGATTTGTTCCAGTGGTTACTTAATTAACTCCGAACATCTTCAGGATTTAGGATAACCTTGATTTCGGAACTCTACGAAGCATCAACTTTTTTTTCCAAAAATAAATTCGAAAAAAGAAGAGGATTTAAATGATTAAAATACCTGGTAACGGTTGGTTTTTGTGAAAAGAAGTCGGAGCTTTTCTTCCGTAGCATTAATCTTGGGAATCGGCTCTGGAATCGATTCTTTGTCCCGCTCTATACTGCAGACCACCAGAGCCTCTGTCACTTGTTGGATTTTGTATTTTAGTGTTGATCTGGGAAGAGCTCAAAGTTATAAAGGCTTTTAATTTTAAAAGCTATCTGGAGCCTCTCTATTTTTTTACATTGGTACAAAATTGACTAATTTCGTGGGGTGTTTTTTTTTGCATCCATTTTTCCTGATTTGTTCCTTTTTAAAAAATATATTTTTGTAAATTTTCATTCTAGAACCACCAGAAGAAATGCTTTCTCAAGCCACAAGGAAAGCAATTTCAGAATTTGTTTCAAGAGGAAAGGCAGCAGCAAATTCTGTGAGCTCAAACCACAAAGATCTTCATGGGTCGGTTTCAAAACTAGGAAAGTCTATTGACAGGGTAAGATCTTTTCATATCTTTAATGACTTATTGTATAAACTGTGTATTAATGAAAAATTAAGGCTACGTTCAGCCAAGTGATAATTAGAAATTGAATGTTTATATGTACTATTTTATGTTTTAAGTTATAATGTGTCTGCAATTTGGTTTTGTCAACTTTCAAGACTGCAAAAAAAGAGTTTAAAAAGTAAAGTGGAGACAAGTAGAAAACCATAATTTCAGCACGGGTACTGTAAGAGTTTGATTAAGAGTTCAATGCAAAGTGAGCCCTTTTTTGTTCCAGAAGATGTTTCAGGTGTAGCTGTGGTATGCTGCTATTTGTATGTGTGTTCTTTGAAGGGAAATATTTTGGGACTTGAAATTGAAATGTAGGAAATTTTGTTTTGTAGCTGACTAGACTGTATTGACAAATCACACAACTGGAATTTTGTAATATTGTATTTGAATCTGACTTGCTTTTTTGTAATTTTCAGATAATTTTTATTTAAATTTACTTCAGGGACCTCATGCTTGAAAGTCCTGTAATATGAGAAAAGTTTGTTTCTGTGGAAATCTTTCAGCTTTGATTTTTTTTCCTGGCATGAATGTATTGTCTTGTCTGCAGAGGTGAAGGCTTATTTCTCCCCCTATATTTGCAGAACTTTACATCCGACTTTTCTGCTGTGATTACTGATGGTGCCTTCGAAGGAGAGAGGAAGCAGAGACTGTTAAATGAAGTCATCTGTGAGCATTTCTTTCGCCAAGGCATGCTTGATATAGCAGAATGCTTGAATGAGGTATGTTTGCTTCTCTCTCCTGACTTAATCCTAAGTTTTCCTATTCTTTTGCAGAAATCCGAAGAGGGACGAGAGGGGGGTGGGGGGGGGGGGGAGATTAGGGGGATAGTGGATGGAGTGGGCTTGTGGTTTAAACATAATTTTTTAAAAAACAGTTTGACTTTATTTTGATTTGTTAAGCTCTACTTTTTTAAACTTCAGATAACTGAAAGTGGATGTTATCAAGTGTTTAGCAGATATTCCACTAAGGAATGACCAAATTTGGCACTTTTCTTTTTTACTGAGCTCCCCTCTCAGGCCTAATGTTAATCTTCAGGTTGGACTAATGGTGAAATTGCATGGAAGATTCTTGAGAAAATTGGGTATTTGAACAGGAATACATGATGGTGTTACCTGAGATAAATACTCTTTGTTTTTGTTATTAAATGTGGACTTTAAGAAATTTCGTAGGGTCACCTTTTTGCGAGTAGGTGGTTGGCGGGTGCTCTGGTGTTGTTTGCGTCTTCTTTCCTATAAGACATCAATTGTCTTTATTTCCCCTTCTTCTTTTTTATGTTTGTTACTCTCTTGTAACACCTCTAATCCTCTGGCGCTCATATGACCATATGCAGTTGTGAGCGCCATAGAACCTCTACTAAAACTAAACTAAAAACCTTATTGTGATGCTTGTTTTTAACCCCCCTGGGCAGTGCCACTGACTGAAATGTCTTTAGGCCATTCCCAAAGGGGGGACATTTCTCGTTCAAGCTTAGTAGAACTGTAAATGGGCTGACTCATGTCACGTTCATAAGTGTGCCTGATCTACAACAGGGAACTGCTGCTTTTTCTTTCCTGATCCTTACTATTGTCATTTCCCTCTACTTCTTTTGTATGTTTGTCCTCCCTTGTGGCCTGCTATTTTGGGGTGCCTTGATAGTCGAAGCAGACCTTTTGCTGTTGAAGCTAGAGAGGTGAGCAGTCTAAGTCTGATACCCTGTAAAGACTTCTCTCTTGACACCCACCCCTTGGCGCTCATATGACCGTATGCAGTTGCGAGCGCCGTAAAACCTTCTATTATTTCACTATTTCATGCTTGTTTTTTTATTCTGTCCAAGGATGCACATTTAGAACTCCCCCACGGAAGGAAAGAACCATTTTTGGAACTCCACAGAATTCTAGCAGCACTTAGGCAACGTGATCTTGGTCCTGCATTAGCGTGAGTATTTCTGTGGGCTTAAGTAATTTAATTAATTGGTCACTTTTAAGGACAAGCGAGCTAACCCAGATTTCGGTGGTTTCCAGAAATCTTGACCTACACCAAAAGTGGGCTTTGCCCTACCTATAGGAGAAGTTTGGTTTCATTGGTGTGTATATTTGTTTGGTTATAGAGAAAACTTTCCTGGTCTATTAAAGAAACTGAACAAGGGGCAAAAACTTAACCTTCGATTTTCTCAAAACAGCATTTTTTGGGATAGCCTCCTTGTGCTTAAAAGCAACCATTATATGAATGCATTTTTTCTAAAATTGTGTATGAGGGTGGGGAGGGGAGGGGAAAGCCTTTGGGGTTCAAAGGCGGGATCTCCTGAAGCGCTCGAGCGCGCGCACGCTCAAAATACCATGTAAGAGAGAGAGAGAGAGAGAGAGAGAGAGAGAGAGAGAGAGAGAGAGAGTGGGAGGGGGGGGGGAGGATCTGCACTTTTGATTTTATGCTTTAGTTGTTATGGTTACTCCACTGTCATATTTTTACTGCTGTTGTTGATCCAGTTGCTGCCCCGCTTTACCCTTTCAGCTGGATCCATTTGAAATAGATGTTTGCCTGTCTGATTTTTTTGTTGTTGATTGAGAGAGGGACTTTAGAAAACGCCGACTTTGTTGATAGGAAGAAATGAAAGTACGTGCTGTCTTAATTTCTGTCGTTCACTGCATTACGACTATCAGCGCCCTGCTCTTTCATTTTTCATTTTGGTAGTTACGCTGAGTATAGGAAATGTATGTGGGTGGTTGACGGGTGCTCTGGTGTGGTTTGCTTCTTCTTTCCTATCAAACGTCTATCCTTCTTTTTTGCGTTTGTTACTCTCTTGTAACACTTTTAATCTTCGGCACTTATATGACCTTATATTGTGTTGCAAGTGCCGTAAAACTCTTACTAAAACTAACTAGGAAATGTATTTATTTATGTATGACACATTTGTTTTCTTTTGTTTGAAAACAGATGGGCGGAGCTGAACCGAGACGAGCTCAACAAAAGAAATTCTCCGCTGGAGTTCAAGCTGCACCGTCTGAGGTACATAGAGCTCATCAGGCTCGGTGCCAGCAAACAGTCGGAGGTACTCGAGTACGCACGCAGGTTGGCGCCATTCGCTGAAATGCACATGAAGGGTGAGCGTTTTTTCTTCTGACTCGGGGGTGTGGGTGGTTGGCGGGTGCTGTTGAAGGCTTTTTCTAGGTCGAAAAAGATGGCGATCATTTGGCCTCCTTCGGCAAACGTCTCGCGTACAAAGGTCTCCAGGCGGACCAGGTGATCCAGAGTGGATCGTGTTTTCCTGAATCCGCAGTGGAGACCGCTCGGCGAACCCGTCGTCTCCAGAAACCACATGAGTCGCCTGTGAATAATTTTTTCTATAAGTTTGCACAGACAGTTCGTCTACAAATTTGTGAAATAAAACATCAAAGCTGGGGCTGTGAAAGATGGGGGCTGTTGTTGCAGGGAGTGAGATACAGACGAAGGAACTTAAATGGCTATGGTAACAGGTGACTTGAATGCTTTCTAAAGTGTCCCTCTTTGTTGATGATGCCGTTTATTGTTTGTTGATGATGTCATTAATTGTTTGTTGATCATGTCATTAATTGTTTGTTGATGATGCCATTTATTGTTTGTTGATGATGCCATTTATTGTTTGTTGATGATGTCATTAATTGTTTGTTGATGATGCCATTTATTGTTTGTTGATCATGCCGTTTATTCATTCTCAGATATGCAGCTTTTGATGGGATCCCTCCTGTACCTGCACAAAGGAATTCAGAACTCAACGTACAGCTTCCTGTTTGAGGACTCCAGCTGGGAAGAAATCTGTGATATATTTACGCGTGATGCTTGCTCCTTGCTTGGTCTGTCAGTCGAAAGTCCTCTCAGTGTCAGGTAAAAAATATTTTCGTAAAAAAAACAACAAAAACACCCTCAAAAAACAAAAAACAAATTAAATTGAACAATCCATACATATATACTACAAGTATTATAGACATAATTATCTGTCACAGTTTAGCAGTGGGTGGTTGGTGGGTGCTCTGGTGTGGTTTGCTTCTTCTTTCCTATCAAACATATATCGTCATTATCTCCCCTTCTTCTTTTTTATGTTTGTTACTCTCTTGTAACACCTCTAATTTTCTGGCGCTTATATGACCTTATGCTGTTGCGAGCGCCGTAAAACCTCTACTAAAACCTTAAAAAACCCAGTTTAGCAGGTTTATCAATGTATATATGTGGTACTCAAAATATTTGGAGGATCTAGAATGATGATCAATGTATTACAGATAAGATTTTGTTTATATTTCTTCTTGATATTAGCACAAATGCAGATAAGTAAATCATATATGCTGTGGAAAAAAGTTTTAAGCAAGTCGCTGCAAAATGTTTATTTAAATAAATATTTGAGTTAGAGAAAAAAGATACTGGTTTGATTACGTTTTCTGGGTGAACCTCTACTAAAACTAACAACTATTTTATGAGGCATGTACTAAAATTATGGACTATGTAGGCTATAGTTAAAGTCCTTATATATTGTGTTAATTGCTTTGGACAGACTTTATTGAATACTCTGAAGAGTAGGCTTTGGCCACCGCCTTGGCAAAATTCAAAATTGATTCTTACCTAACTTTGTTCCGCGTGCTCATATGACCATATGCTGTTGCAAGTGCCGTAAAACACTTACCAAACATAAACAAAAGACCCCTCGAAACTATGAATTAATGGTGCTGAAATGGTTAAATACATGTTTAAAAAAAATGAATTATCTCTGCCTTTTCAGTGTTAACGCTGGCTGCAAGGCCTTACCTCCCCTGCTGTCTATTCGGCAAGTTATGCAGTCCAGACAAGTGGCTGGAGTTTGGAGCAGCAAAGAGGAACTGCCTGTAAGTTTTGTCCTGTTACCTTCCTGCCCATACTTATCTTATGGCACTTTTTTCCCAGCTTGTCATTGTATACCAGCGTCTGTGGTGTAGTGGTTAGGTCGATCGTGGTTGGTTGGCAGGTGCTCTGGTGTGGTTTGCTCGTTCTTTCCTATCGAACATCTATCGTCTTTATCTCCCCTCCTTCTTTTTTGTGTTTGTTACTCCTTTGTAACACCTTTAATCTTCTGGCGCTCATATGACCGTACGCAGTTGCGAGCGTCGTAAAACCTCTACTTAAACAATACATCAGCATGTATACCGCCCTCTGTGGTGTAATGGTTAGGTGGGTCGCTGTTGTAGGTAAGAGACCTGTGGTGGATTCGTAGTCGTAGCAGACTTTGTGCTGTTGAAGCTAGAGAGGTGAGCAGAGTAAGTCTGATTTGCTGTAAGGACTTTTCTGTTGACATCCACCCCTTGGCGCTCATATGTTCTTATGCAGTTGCGAGCGTCGTAAAAACTGCTAAAACTAAAAAAAACATTCCCTTATTTCGATGAATTATGCAATATCACTTGCACAAGGGAAAACACACTTCCATCTTTTCGAACTAACTTCCCTTGTTTCCTCTGTTTATAACTGCAGGCATATATTATGTTTAAAAGTGAAGGAGAGGGTGTGTGTATGTGGTATGTGTTTGTGTGTGTGTGTGTGAGAGAGAGAGAGAGAGAGAGAGAGAGAGAGGGAGGGAGGGAGGGAGGG